TGATAACAATAATGATGATGACAGGCCTCACAAATTAAGCTGTTCCTAGGGAGCCATATCCAATTCTCAACAATTTTAAAATAAAACATGCAAGTTAACATGTATGTATAACATTAGGACATTGGAGTCATTCAAAAGAATACAGCCAAATATGATAGGGCTTTAAACTCATAAATGTGGCTTTGTTTTCATACATAATTTAGAATTATTTCTTTTTTTTCAGAAGTTTATATTAGAATAGTATATTATCTAAAGTTCAATAGGGTCAAGGTCCTGCATGCTTTGTGTTCATTCTGGGATCATAGTTTGCTAATGAGAACTGACATATACCAACACAAAATGGTTTTATGGTCCTGTCCTTCTGGTCACAGGCTTTAGAAATAAAAGAAAGCACAGAGTTTATAGGGTCAGAAGACAACCTCCAGCGTATCTGTGAGATTTTTGTAATAACTTAATCTCACATGAATATTTTGAAAACCAAATGAGATTCAATATATGTGAGTGATGTACAAATGCAAATGTTATTACTGAAAGTCATATCCCCTTACATTTATAACAACCACTTTAAAATGAACACACAAGGTCATCTGCTTTATTTTGTTCATTAGATTCCACATATAAGTGAAATCCTGTGATATTTGTCTTGCTCTGACTGGCATATTTCATTTAGCATAACACTCTCCAGGTCCATCCATGCTGTTGCAAAAGCTAAGATTTCCTTCTTTTTCATGGCTGAGTAGTATTCCATTGTGTAAATGTACCACCGCTTTTTTTAAATCCACAAACGTACTGATGGGCACTTGAGCTACTTCCAAATCTTGGCTATTGTAAATAATGTTGCAATGAACACAGGGCTCCATATATTCTTTCAAATTAGTGTTTCAGGTTTCATTGGATATATCCCAGAAGTGTGATTGCTGGGTTATAAGGCAGTTCCATCTTTAATTTTTTGAGGTAACTCCATACTGCTTTCCACAATGGCTGCAACAAAATAGAAATAGACTCATAGATACAGAGAACAGACTGGCAGCGGTTAAAGAGGAGGGGTAGGGTGCTGGGTGAAAAAGATGAAGGGATTAAGCAAACAAAAAAACACACACCTCATAAACAGACAACAGTATGGTGATTGCCAGAGGGAAGGGGAGGTGGGGGGATTAGGAGAGGGTAAAGGGAAAATAAATGGTGATGGAAGACACTTGGGGTGGTGAACACACAATACAATATATGAATGCTGTATTATAGAGTTGTACTTCTGAAACCTATATAATTTTATTAACCAATGTCACTCCAATAAACTCAATAAAAATCATCTATTCTGTAGAGTATCTCTATATGTCATCAGTACACAACTATAGTCATCTCTAGCCCTCTGTAGCCTGTGCACATCATAAAGCAAGGCTTTGACTTTTTCACCTCAACAGCTCCAGCATTTGGCATTCTGACATATAGTAGGTGCTGGCACATATATTTAAATTATGAACTTAAAGGAAACAGAAACATTAATTTTAACCCTAAATATTATTGGGACACATCCTGATACTACACAGCTGAGATGCACGTGTTTCCTTTTACAGGCCAATAAAAAATGTAAACGTCACTGTTTCGGGCTTGGTTCCCAAGAGTCAGATGTTGAGATGGAGCCTGTGGTGCAGGGTGTTTATTAGGGATCAGCACCTGTGGAAGGCCAGGGGAGAAGCAAGCTTGAGCAGAAAGAGAAGTAGAACTGGCATACCTTGGTCACCCTAGTGGACAACTCTGGAACCAAGTTTGCCCACTAGAGTTGTCTTTCATCAGGCCAAGATAGTCTGGCTCTTATTCTCCCACCTCCATCACTCATTGGGTCCTCCATCACTCCTCCACTACCCCTGGGAGAGGATGCCCTTGGGCAAGGTGACTCTGCAGCTGAGACAGTCCCTGAAGAGATTGACAGCTAAGGTAACATATCTTTCCCTGGTGCTTGTCCATGTTCACCAGAGTCATCAAATTTAAAATGTCTGTCTACCACATAAGAAGAGACATTCATATTTGAGTGCATAGAATGACTTTACTCAATATGGAATTTGGAATTACATTCACAATCAAATTAAAGAAAAGGCCTATGCTGTTATAGATTTATGGTAGCATATACAAAACATTTCATTAATATAGTGAAGGCTTACAGGAAGACATTGGTGTGTTGGCATGTAATGTCATTTTCTCATGAAACACTGTCCTTCAGCAAGTAGTTTCTGGGTACCTGTTTGTGCACTGAAACAGACATTATTAAGCAAAGCACTCCTCTGGGGATATACTGATACAGCTTTGTGCAGAACCTCTCTTCCCAGACCCAATCTTCTCCACTGTTCTAGCTTCTGAAGGTAATGAATATGTCTTTCTGCCAGGGTGTGGCTGCATCTAGGGTCCTGAAGAAGGCACCATTAGCAGGATATGGCTTTCCTTTCTGATCTAAGCCTTCTTACCCATTGATCCCCATGCATTTAGTGTTCCATCTTGGCAGCTTTCCTTCTCAAGTGTATATGGTGTGTGTGTTTTTTTAAAGATTGTCATTATTTTTTTAAAGAATTGTATCAATTCAATTTTATTAATTTCTTTTTAATTGATTTTAGAGGAGAGAGAGAGAGAGAGAGAGAGAGAGAGAGAGAAAAAAAAAAGAAAGATACATCAATCAACTGCCTCCTGCAACCGGAGATTAAACCTGAAACCTATGTATATGCCCTGACCAGGAATCGAACCAGCAACCTTCCAGTGCAGGAACAATGCTCCAATAAACTGTACCACCTCGGCCAGGGCCGAGTGTATATCTTTTAATGGGACTTGAAGAAGTGACCAAAACCAGATTTGTGCCTTAATTTCTCCAAAATTACAAGGAAGAAATCAACTTGAAGTGTTCCCTGGTCATAATGCCTGTGCAATCCTGCTCTACCCAATACAAAATAATGTGTTGGGTGGATTAGCAAACATTTGAGTTTACTAGAAAATCAACCATTATTTTCTCAGGACCTAGAAGGGTTGATTTTCTTTCATTCTAAGTTTCTGGGAAAAGTTCAAGAGCTTACACAAATGAGACTTAAGAGATTGGTGTGGGAAACTGAGACATAAATTCAGTCCACAAGCCCTTCTATCTTCCAATGCAGTGTTAACTCATTATTATTAAATGCTCATAAATAATGAGGATAAGATCATTTTATAAGAGGCTTGCTCTCCACCATTATGGATTATCATACAGACTTTTAGGATGTAAGCTACTAAGATTATAACATATTTCAGTCTGCCTTTACTCATGCATAACAAATGGGAAAGACGGGTGAACATTCCTTACACATTCCAGCAGTAGTGTTTTTAACCAATCAATGTTTTCATTTGGTTCTCTTTCAATCCCTTAAGGGTAGACATTAAAATAAGGCTAAATATGTTTAATTTTTGAAAGATATAATACAAATTCCATAGTAAGCTAAAATCCAATCATGTCTAAATTTTTTCAGTTCCCAGGGTTATTTTTAGGTCTTTGGGGGAAAATATAAGGTTTTTGCTCTCTTTCTCAGCCTTGAAGTGCCCCATTTAAACATGACTGTCTCGTCGCACCCCTTTCCAGCCCATTCACCATAGTCAGCATCCAAGATCCTGGAAAGATTGAGGCTCCTTTCACTGGTGGGAGGAAGAGAAGCAGCATGCTGTGGAGATGGAAATCTGGGTTCTAGTTCCAAATCCACAACTACTAGTAAGTGTGGTACTTTGGGCAAGTTCCTGGCTTTCTGCAGGCCTTCATTTGCTCATCAACTTAGGGAGGAAAGAGAATGGCTGCTTTTTAATGGCCCTCCCAATGCCACTGTCCTATGATTATCGAATATTCCAAGCATATTCTGCTTTGACAATAGACCATGTAATGGGATTTGAAACGAATATTTTGTATGGCTTCCTGGGAATTTGGAAAATCTGAGTCATATAACTACCCCCTCCAGTCTCAAAATGGAGGTAAGGAAATAAATACTGGAATTTGGGCCATGTGACTCTTAAAGCAAATTGAGTTTTCAAAGCCAGAAAGATATATTTTAAGGCTACAGTATTATTTCCCCTTTTTGATTAGTGACATGAAAGAATAGCTGTAAATGTGACCAGCGGTTAATACTTTCATTATCAGTTAAGAATTATAACCATTTAACTGTCGGTATTAAATTTAATTCTTTTTTATGACAAAAATTTTCTTCATATAATGGTCCAAATTACCATTCACATTTGCCTTCAGAATGAGACAACCGCCAATTTAGTGGACTGCCTGGCTCTGTCACAATGAAGGTTAAGATTAAGGTCAAGGCTTAATAGCATTAGATTTTTTCTGTTCCAAAGTCACAAATACAAATTTAACCCTGCTGGATTTTTTTAAAAAATGTGTGAAAGCTATGCCAACGAGTTTATAAAACCATCATCTCTACAGGAAAAGTAATTCACAGGTTGGCTGTACTAACAGTGGGGTGCACTGGCATTTCTGGTGAGCCAAGACAGCATGGTGTCAAGGTTGCCCTGGAAACTGAATTGCCAGTCTGGGTTAGTGTTGAGATGCCTAAAGCAGACATAGCACTGTCCTGGCACTGGGAATGTTCTGGTAATGCTCAGGAGATCATTGGACCTATAGCACTGGGTGGTCAATGACACAGAAACCATAGCAGTGAACAATTTATCTTCTTTCTGGTTCTTCGGACTTTGTTTATGAATACTTATTCTCTTCTGAATAAAAGGAAGAGATGAAATAGGCGATAACTTTTCTATTGTATTTCGTAGTGCCTATTGTATTTCGGAAGCCAGAATGCATTAGATTTTGTGCTCATTCAATAAACTAAATTCTGAGACTAAAAGCCAAATTTAAAAATGCCACACCGTGCATTCTGGAACCCTATCTCCCTCTTTTTCTGGACTCCCCACCACCACCACCACCACAATGCACACACCATAGGGATGCATCAAAGTAAGATATTTAGTAGGAAAAAACAATGCTTACACAGTCAGAATTTTGACGTTACTCTCTTTTTATTTCACAACATGGGAATAACTCAAGTTTGGAGCCTCAAAGACCAAAATATATTTAAACCAAATGTTTAGAAGATGAGCCAGGCCACCATTTTGGCAGCAAGTTTCATGTGGCCCAGTGGGTGTTGGAGAAAAATGACTGCAGCATGGCAAAAGCTATAGCACACCCACAAATAGATTCATGCTTGGTTGTCTAATTTGCATGCATGAGTATAGTGCATTCTCCATGCCACTAGTACACATATGCCTTTTTCAAAGTCAGTGCAGAATCGGTATTTGTGCAGGTCTTTATAAGTCTGCTCCCTTACAAAGTTTACCATAATTTATCTGAGAGAACCTTCAGGTGACAAATTCTTATACCACTTTTATTTTCCAAAAGTCATTTCTGAATAGTAATTACAGCTATCAGGAGTCCCAGCATTGTATAGGAGAATCTGTTTAATTATTTGAATGTCAGCTGGCTGTGATTGAACTTGAATAAACATACCTACATGCTTGGTGCCTGGAATTTCAAATTGGGAACCTTTAGCAGCAATGGCAACTTTAGACCAAATGACAAGATAAATAAAAATTAGCTGATGTCCCAGAAAGAATCGGGCATTCGTGCTTTCCAAAGTGAATGCTTCCCTAATTTGCACCAAACAGCGCCAGTCTGACCCACCCTTGCCTGGGGGCCCACTTTTCCCACTAATGCTGAATTGTTGGAAACCCAAGCAACATTCAGCACCAAAGGGGAAGATGCCCGAATATGAGAAGGAAGCAAAAGAAATTGTACCAGGGAAAGGAGACAGGAATGGACAACAGGTTCCCGGAGCATCTCTCTCTGTCAACAAGCATGTAAAGTCTTTATTACTGGAATATGCAGAATCCCATGGGAATTGCTGCATCTTTTTTTTTGCCTTAACTTCTTTCTTGCCAGTCAGTCCATGACTGATTGAATTGTCTCACTCATGGGGGGAGGTTGTCCCATCCAAAAGCCACTCAACAGCAGGTCTCAGGAGCCACATTCCTCGCAGTGACAGGAGAGGATGTACCGGTAGGTGGCTGTGAGTCGCATGCCCCCTGAGCAGCGCAGTCGCAATGCTTTCAGCTTGGAGGTCTGGGGACGACAGCAGTGACAGGAAGACCGGAAGGGCTGCTTGAGTACAGTGCTGAAGGACACCAAGGGCTCGGAGCGTGATGCCTGGCTGCAGTGTCCCTCGCACCTGGCCAGAAGCACCATCTGGGGAGAGAAGAGAGGTGGTTACCGTGTGGAGATGCCAAACCCCAGCCAGGTTGCACAGCCTCCTTTAGAAGGACCTAATACTCTTTGCCAGTTCCTGCTGGATTAGATCAGTGACTCTTAACTCTGGTTGCATGTTGGAATCATATGGTAAAACTTGTTTTTAAAATGTCCACACCCAGGCCTTGTCTCAGACCAAGTGAGCTAATATCCTTGAAGACAGAGCCAGACTTCTGTGGTTTTCAATGCTCCTTCAGTGATTCTTAAGTGCACTCACAGTTTAGAACAACTGAGTAAGGCCCACCACCATGATGTGCAAATAAAAAGCAAAGAACAAAAGAAATTCCTCAGACAGGTGGCAGTCTTCCATTGGCTCGATGTCAACTTTATGAGTCTTAAAATGCAGAAAGTCATTCCAAATTAAAGTCAGGGGGCAAAGAATAACTACAGAAAAAAATTTATTCAGTGAAGGGGATTTCTAAACAAAAGGAATATGGTTTCTGAAGAAGAAGAAAAAAGAATAATCTGAGTGAGAGGAAAAATAATTCTAGGTAATACAACTTGAAACAAGAGCATGAAAGAGAAACAAGGTACATTTGGGGCCCTGGAATGACACTTCTGGGTTTATACATTGAGGGAGCCTAAGATTTGTGCAATCACATCTTCAGGTCAATTGGGGGCAAATATTAATTCATCCTAACCATCTCCATTTCTAAAGGTAGGTTAGCATGAAAATAAAACTTGGGCTGAAGTAACAGAGGATGTGTATTCTTTATAATGTCTCTTCATGTGGCTTTAGTAAACAGACTTCTTTAAGCATCTGATGCAAACTACAAAAGTTATCCCCAGAACAATGGACATAAGTACACACTCAATATTGTGCATAAAGATTACGAGAATGGAGGTGAGGTTCATTTATGTATCTCATATACAAATCCTCGTGTCCTGAAAGTGGCAGCCATAGGTGGGGTGGGGTGGGCTACTTGATTCATTAAGCTATATAATCCCATCTAGTGGGAACAGAGGATGAAGGGAGCCTGAGTCCACGTTAATGTGGGAGGATTTCTCTTGTTGAATTTTATATTAAGTGATAGAAAAAGTTGCCCTATTATTCCAGAACTAACAATAAGAACATAAAAAGTGGAACTATTTAAATAAAAAGAATAAAAGATACATAGATACATGAAACCATTTGACATTTACCTCATGGTATTTAGGAGTTAACAGCTGATATTAAAATCACACCAAACCTTAACTATTGTAAATTGCCCAAGGGCTCAGCAGCAGATGAGTGCATAAAAAAGCTACAGTACATTCACACTATGGAATACTATGCATCTGTATAAAAGAAGGATTTCTTACCCTTTGAGACAACATAGATGGACCTGGATATTATTGTGCTAAATGAAATTAACCAGTCAGAGAAAGACAAGTATCACATGATCTCACTCATATGTGGAATCAAATGAACAAAATAAATGATGAACAAAATAGATCCGGCCCTAGGAACAGACTGTGGAATCTCAGAGTGAAGGCAGGGGTGAGTAGGTGGGTAGGTGGGTAGGTGGGAAGAGATAAACCAAAGAACTTGAATGCACATATGCATAACCCATGGACACAGACAATAGGGTGGTGAAAGGCCTGGGAGGTGTGAGTGCCGGGTAGAGGAGGTCAATGAGAAAAAACAAAAAACAAAGGGGACATTTGTAATAGTATCAACAATAAAGATAAATTTTTAAAAAAGACTGTGATAAAGGTAGTTTTGTAGGTTTAAATATTATCTTTAGAAATAAAAAATACAAGAAGAACAAAAAAACTCCACCTTATCCTATAGGACAGAATTAAACACCCAAGGATTAAAAGGAGGAAATGGACTGCCCATCTTTCCAACAGGAAGAGAAGCTGACTTCTGATGATTATAGATCATTACCTGAGAAAATGTTGGGCAGAATCCAAAAATCTCTGAGCAACCAAGAGAATATGAGATACTAGGAAACAACCAGCAGGGCTTGGTGAAGATAAACTGAACGAGACCTATTGATTTATTTTCTCTGAAAGATCAGAGGTGGAGAGAAAATGGCAGCTGTAACCTGTTCGGGTTTGATTAAAACTTTGATTCTATCCTGCCTGCTCTTCACATTGATAGTTGAAACTAACATGATCTTAAATAGGTTTTGAGAGATTATGTCATAGGTCAGTAGTACCTTGGCCAATCCTATCCCCCTAATGAAAGAGAGTTCAAGGTCTTCCCCAGTCCCTTCTTCACACACCCTCCAGTACATGGGAAGAGCTCTTTGACATCTCATTTTGAAGAAGTAGTGTTCAATTTACTCATCTCTACTAAGATCATCTATTAGGCAGATTAAACAGTTATTCATAGAATAACCTCCTAAAATGGAGTCTGGATGGATACAGTGAACCTATACCAACAGACTTAATTCAGAAGCAAAGACATGGTGGGGCATCATCCCCAAATGACACACATACAGGTGAACCAAGTGTAGACCTTGAATGACCAGGCAATTAGCCTTGGTCTGTAAAATGACAAAGTCAGCAGTGTAGGGCCATTTGTATAAAAATTAAACTGGTAGCAATTTCACTAAAAATTTTCAGGGTCTTTAAGCTCTACCTTCAGGTCATTCTGAAGGACAAGATCTCCAACAATGACGACCCTGGGGCCACGTCCAATGGGCCCCTCTTTCTGGGCAAAGAGAATGCACAGACATACAATAAACACCTTCAGTGGCTGCTCCCAGCCTTCAGAATAAAATTTAAAATCCTGAACAGGGACTAAGGCCCTCTATGACATGGATTGCACATATCTTTCCATTCTTTCTTACAACTGTTTTCATTCACATCACCCACTCCCTATTCTGATCAAGCTTAATTACTTAGGAGTTCATGAACTATACTGAATTTCCCTGCCTCTTACTTTTGCTCATGTCTTTACTCTTTTAGGAATACCCTTTTCTCCTAGCTCTGCTTAATGAAATGTCAACTACCCTTCATTGCCAAATTAAAATACTCTTTCCTTGAAGAAGAGACTATGAAACAATTATTGGGCCCTTGATGTCCTCAACACACACATATGTGCACACAAGCACAAATCCACTCTCTTAGAGATTCCCAGTATATAGATATTATCTGAAAGCTGAAAACTACATTAAAATCTGGGTGTGTTTTGTGTATGTTGGATAGGTGAAGTGGGGAGTGTGTAAGATAAGATCCATAATGTGTGTCGTTAAGGAATGAAAGGGGTAAATATCTGCTCTCCAGGTTCACTCTTGATATTCCACATTTTAGTCTCTGCCATGCCTCACCTGTGTTACAGATTTAATAAATGTCTTCTGACCTCTTTCAGACCAGAGCTTCTTAAACTATAAAATGCATGTAAATAATATGTCGTTAAAATGTATAATGTGATTGAGTAGTTCTTAGTGAGACCAGAGATTCTGCATTTCTCATAAGATTTTGTTGTATGTGAGTACTGCAGTGCTAACCTCCACACTTTGACTAGCAAGGCCCTGGGCCTGCAAATATTTGAGAGGCTCTGCTCCAGATGGATCACCAGATAGTGACCATTTAATTCATAACAATAGCACTAAAATTTATTGACTGCTTACAACATTTAATCTCATTTAATCATCATAACAATCCTATGCGAAAAAGTAAATCTGTAGTATTGTTACAGAGAAGGTAAATGAAGACTTAGAAAGTTTAAGTAACTTGCTCAAACTCATATATCTGATAAAAGGCATAGCTGGAGTCAAACTCAGGTCTGTCTAAATCCAAACCCCTTGTCTAAATCACTGCGATATCCTGCCTCCTGATAAAGGGTGTCCTAAAATTCCCACAAGAAGTAATTTTGATAGAAAACACAGGTTTATAATTAAAAATTGTAAATTTTTTATTGATTCATAAAGTATACAGTACAGGGTTATGTAGGAATAGCTGTTGAATGGATTATGGAACAACAATAAATGGATGCTGATTTTTCAAACAAAATCATCTTCAGAGATGAGGCTCATTTTCATCTTCATGGCTTGGTTAATTGACAAAATTGTCGTATTTGGGGCTCAGAAAAGCCACGAGTGATTGTTGAGAAACAAATGCATCCACGACGTGTCACTGGTGTGGATTTTGGGCTGGAGGCATCATCGGACCATTCTTCTTCGAAACTGCAGCTGCTCAGGCAATAACAGTTAATGGTGCTGGCTATCGCGACATGATATTACAGTTTCCTATTCCATACATAACCCTATACTATATACTTTATGGATCAATAAAAAATTTACAATTTTTAATTATAAACCTGTGTTTTCTATCACAATTACTTCTTGTGTGAATTTTGGGACACGCTTTATTAAGATGTTTCCTGAGGTATGAACCAATTCACCATTCTCTAATCTACTTTGACCTGCCTCTAGGGGCCCAAACTATATATCATTTCCATACAAGTCTGACCCTTGTCTTATGGGCCTCTTGGGACACATCCTCACCATCTGTAAGTGTACACAAAGTTGAAGCTTCTAAGATCCATGGCAGTCCTAAGTAATACCTTCTTCACTGTCAAATCCTCACTCAGCTCTATCCCCCAGTGATTTGGGGACTCCCAGCAATTCTCTGGATAGTACCATACACTAACTCCTAACCAATTCATCCTTCAGTTCAAGAAACATTTGACACCTTCAAACATCAGGTCACCTGCTAAGACACAGTGGCCCCCAATTTGTGGTTGACATATATTCCTCATGCTTGGATGACTTCTCACAGCCCAGGTGAGTGACAGACACATGTTATATGCTTTGGATCCAGTTTAATTTTTATTATGTTATGTTTCCCAAACAAGTGGCCTGATGCTAGGAAGCTAGGCAACCTCTCCAATAGCTCCTTTATATTCCCCAACCTTGTCACTTGGCTCCAGCTGGATCTGAAAGTCAGTTTCTTCCAATATGAAGGTTCAGAGTGTTTGCTCAAGAACAGGCTCCTTCATGCTTTTA